ACCATACCACTCATTTCTCTCCACTTGTCGGGGGGGGGGGGGGGGGGGGGGGGGGGAGGGGAGGGTATATAAAATACATACAGTAGACTTCCGATAATCCGGGACCTATGGGACTAGGTGGTACCGGATTATCAAATATGCCGGACTATCAGGAGGTACTATAAACTGGTTATATATATATACTGTATACATTATATACTGTATATAAAGTGTTCTTAACCCTTTTTATTGTACACACTGTATACAGTATACTGTAATGTTTTAGTTTTTTAAAGCCTTTTTTACCCTTTTTGCTCAGTTCAGCTGCTGCTGCTGTTACCTTGTGACTCATTTTTTGCTGAAGCTCACTCACTAGGCTCTTGCCATTTTGATGCCGGACTATCAGGAGTGCCGGACTATTGGATGCCCAACTATTGGAGTTTTACTGTACTACCTAGGGCGCATTAATGTGGAGTAGTAGGGAGTAAGGGAGTATATGTGTAAGGAGGAGGGGGTCTTACTCTTTCTTACTGCCTGGTATAGACACATTCACATAGCTCACAGTCTAACCCTCCATTCATAATGTGCAGTGGTCATAGAGAAGTGAAAAGGATAATTGTTGACTCTGAAAAGGTTTTTCCCAAGATGAGGTTGTGGCATGAGCAATGCCAAATCGGGATGATGCTGTCTTTAATTGGTATCACAGAGGCTCCGTGGTCAGCATGCTTTTTGGGTTTATAACAGAATCCCAATGTTCTGCTCATCTGAAAGGTTTCTGATTGTTTCACATTAATCACAGGGGCTATACAGCAGAGAGTGAGAGCAAGTAGGCAGATATCCTAATGGATAAGTACTAAGGAGCTCTCATTATAATCATCCTGTCAAATGAAAAGAAAACCCCAAGGCTCCTAATAAGGGTGACCACTGGACTAAACAAATTGAACAAGTAACTACACATGCACGAGCTTAACAACACTGTTTTAATCAGATTTTATGAACCTTTTTTACGGAGGCACTTTAAGTGGCACTTCATAATCTGTGCATGCCAAACCAACATGCAACACGTGTACTTTGCTTGCCTAAGATAAATCTGCACATACAGTTATATGTCTTATGGAAACAACTGGTTAATTGTATGGGAAGAATGAGACATGATCCTATAGTTAGTGCACAGAAAAAATATGCAGGTGCTGTTTAGAAAGATCATGTTGAAAAAAATTATATTATAATGCTAAGAAACCAAAATGCACTTTGTGAGGTGAAATGCATGTGAGGATGTGAACACTTAACACGCAGGCTTACTTTTCTCTGATACATCCACTAAAGATAGAGACTTTTCCTTATCACTGGCCATCCCCACGTAATATGGCATAGCTCAAACAGAAAATTATCTTATCAGGTTTTTCTATCTCTGCAGTCAGATATTTCCATGTCTGCTTTCACCTCTTGTTTCAGAGTTGAAAGATGTAAAAAAGATCTTTAGGGTCATAAAACCTACTGTCTATAACACAGGAAAGGAGTATCAGAGAAAAGTATATACTGCCAGCCTTCCACCTATGCTGATGTAAGTTACTGCATTTGCAAATGGAACTGAGTGTACTAAAAGGGGAAGAAATTAAATTTAAAAAAGAGAGGTATTGGAACTAATAAAAGATACAGAGAAATTAGAAAAAGAAGATGTTTACTTATAGAAGCAATATATTAAGTTTGGGCATGGTCATGAAAAATGAGTGAGAGAAAGAGGGGACTTTTTCTCAAAGATGGTGGAGAAGAAAACAGATTGTTGTATGTTTTGACATAGTTTCAGAAATAGTCTATGTTTGAGAGATGAAGACAGGAAGGAAAGAAAATGAAGAGAAACCCAACAGTGGCTGGTCCATAGAGCTGAAGAAGGAAAAGAAAGAAAAAGTTTTTGAGGCAGAGGTGGGACTGAGAATGAGGGTATGTCTACATTACAGCGCTAATTCGAACTAAGCTAATTCGAACTAATGCATCTAGAACTAAAAACTAGTTTGAATTAGCGTTTTACTAATTCGAACTAGCATGTCCACATTAAGTGGACCCTGAACCGGGGTTAAGGATGGCCGGAAGCAGTGCCGGCAGGGCATCAGATGAGGACTTAGAGCGTGAAGCTGCTGTCTCAGGCTAGCCGAGGGCTGTGCTTAAAGGGACCCAACCCCCACCCCGGACAGACAGTTCTCAGGGGTGCCCCGCTTGCAAAGCAGTCCTGGCTTGGAGTGCACTGAGTGCCCACACTGGGCACATCACAGCACTCGGCCATCAGACCGGCTGCACTTGCCGCAGGCTGCCATCTGGGGAGAGGGAGCAATTGGGGGGCTGCAGGAGAGCTTCCACCCCCAGAAGCCCGCAGAG